ATTCTCTATATACTATTTTACACTTATCATTTTTCTAACTCCGTCCGTCATCACTTTAGTGAAAAAGATTTCTAAGAAAAAAATATATTAGTTTAATAATTGAATTAATTCAAGGTAAGAAGCATACAAAAATAACTTAGTAATCATATATTTCAATCTAATAATAAGCATTTAAAATATAATGTTGAGTATGAGATGAAAGACTAAATGAATCATTATGAGACTAAGAGATCACAAAATTCTCTTAAAAAAAGTAATTTATATATATATATATATATATATATATATATATATATATATATATATATATATATATATATATATATATATATATATATATATATATATATATATATATATATATATATATATATATATATATATATATATATATATATATATATATATATATATATATATATATATATATATATATATATATATATATATATATATATATATATAAGTTTTATTTATTAAATATACATTACTTTAATTGTCATTTATGACCATGAAATAGAACCAAAACAAAGAACACATTATGTTTGAAAAGTGGACTAACCATTTATATATTGATTATAAAAAGTGGACACCAATTTTTAATAGTTTTAGTAAAATAAATTTGGAATAGTTTTAAAACCAAATAGTATGAACTTTTGAAATAGGTGCACCATATTTTTAAATGGACTCATCAGTCTCTTCGACGAATTTGGTAAACTTTGACACTTTCCACCCTCTGGGCAACTCTGTTTGCAGAACAAAGTCTGGTAGTGGGGACGTATATGTTCGTTGTCGAAGGCCTGGGTTCACCCTGTTGCGAACCATAATTAGTTCCACCATGGCTTCGTGTTGAACTTATCTGACCATATAGTCTGGGTTGTGGTTTCAATGAACTAAAACAACGGGAGGCCTTTGGGCCACCATGGGTGTGTGATCAACCTCATGGGGTTGTTGGTTAATTGTCTCGTCAAAGACTTCATCTTGTCAAATTGGCGTCTTCGGTCGAGGTGGCGGCGTTTGTCGACCCAGGGCTCTAGGAGCACCTAAAAAAATCACCTATCTACGTCATCTGATTTTTCCAATTGTTGGTAACTCTGAGTCGAATTGTGTATTAGTGGTCTTAATATGGTGCCCATTTGCTGGCCCAACATGTGGACCATTTCGTGATTACTTCCGTCCATCTACTGCCTCATAACGTCGATAGAACTTGACGTGAAAGTTGGAAACGAAAGTGACGAAACACTAAACCCTGGGGGCCTAGTGACTTAGTTTTCCAAAGGCTCTAACCCTTAATACGGAGAAAAAGTCGACAAAGAGTTTTCCCTAAAGAGTGGGCCACTGAGATGCAGGCTCGACATAAAATCTGTCAGCATCCCAAAGGTCTGGGGAGCCGGAATTGTGAAACTAGGCATATATTGTCCCCCAGTTCCTGTCACCATAGGCCTAGGTTTAGGCTAGTGTGACCTCATGACAGGTCCACCATGAGCTGTCGAAACTGCACACACAACCTCAGCACTAATGTCAGTTGTTTGAGTCACAACTATATTTCCCTCCGAAGACGGTTCTTCGTTTGGACGTGGTATCACCATCTTACCACTACACAAATGCATACACCCAAACCTTTGGGTCCCACCAGGTGTGCCAATTTGTTTGCACACAGTTTTTGCGCGAACAACCTTTGACCTCCTAACACAGACTTACTTGCGGGACCGATCAAACAACTTCCAGAACTCTGGTTTGTAATGTATAGGAAAGTGGTGGAATGTTGTTGTTTGGAATAGGCTGAAGATCACTTAAAGAAAATAATGTAAAATTAGATAAAGATGAATGCGTAAACATGAAAAGACAAAACTAACAAGATAAGACACTTTAAAGTTAATGATATAAATTGTTTATTAAGAGGAAAAGTGGACGCGGTCATACATTTTGCTAGAATGAAAAAATCTTTTTTCTTAACGCTTGGTAATCAGAGTGTTTTTCCCTCACAATGTTACAAAATGCGCCCCTAAAATGAAACTGGGCATTGCCTTAAATAGGAAAATAAAATAACTGCCATGTTGAAGTTGGTGGCACCACGTGCTCGTCCACCACTTTTGTAACCTCTCACGTTCTCATCTTTCAAATCTGTTTCCCGCTCGAATTTTTTCCTTCTTTGCGTTGGCTTCTTTGTCCATCAGTCGACCCTGTCGAACGAAACTTCCTGAGTCGACCCAACAACCCTCTTCTGTCGGCGTCGGCTTACCTCATTTTCTTCACCATCTTTCTCAGCCTGTCGACCCACAAGCCAGTCTTTGTGTCGTCTCTCTTTTGTCGAAACTTTCAGCCAACAATATTGTGAAAATTATGTAAAAAGTTGGATCAAATGCTTTATTTCTCAAAGCATTGTTGTTCATATACAAATATGACATTCACCATTTTTCTTAAAATTGTGCCTATGATACTATAATTAATTACTGATATATAAATGAGCTTAATTATAATATAACTATAAATAACTAAAATATTAAAATAGAATCAGATTTTTCTAATTCTAAGGATAGGGGCTACTTGCTAAATATAGCTTAATACCCTCTCTCTCAAGTAGGGGCAAAGAGATTTTGAATGCCCAAATTACCAAAGAGAAATTTAAACTGAGGTTTCCACAATGCTTTTGTGAAAATATCTGTGAGTTGAGTGGTAGTAGAAACATAGAATGGTCGAATATTATTTTTGAGCACTTCATTCTGAAAAAATGACAGTCAACTTTATTGTTCTTTGTATGTTTATGGAACATTGGAATTTTGGCAAAGTGGATAGTCGCTTGACTATCGCAATGAATGATCGTTGGTTTATCACGAGCAAACCCCATATTAGAAAGGATATCTTTTAACTTGCATGTGGTTGTTTCCATATACCGACATTTAGCCTCAACAGTAGACCAAGAAACAGTGTGTTGCTTCTTTGTTTTCTAGGAAAAAGGAGAGTCAGCGAGCTGCACTATCTAACCAGTGACCGATCGTCTAGTTAAAGAGCAGCTAGCCCAGTCTGAATTGTACCAACCATGAAGTGTTAAGTCACTTTTACTACCAAAAAAATCTCTTGTTTAGGATTGCCTTTTAAAAATCGAACAACTCGTAGTGCAGCTTCCCAATGAATTGAGAGAAAATGTGTATATTGTATGATATTTATGGCAGAGAAAAACACAAATAAAGCAATCACCCAACCAAGCGCCAATATTGCTCGGGGTTGGAAAGTAATTGTCTGTGAGCAAGTGACAAACAACAGCTTTAGGATGCGTATTTTTGTTAAAAGCGTTGGTTTAAGTGCATTTTTGGCAACATTTTTTTGTTAAAATCGCTTGCTTAAGTGCACTTTAGGCAACGTTTTTTATACTGGAGTTATTTCTTTAATCTGAATGACTCGTAGTTTTTACTCTCATATTGAAAAGTTTTTCACGTTAAAAATATTAATTTATATTTTAACACCTAATATATGCAAAGTAACTAAATCAAAACATTGAAGAGCAATTATTTTAAAACCTGGAAACTCAATACCCATTCCCATCGTTTCAAGTGATTCTATAAACCAAACACACACTAGTCTCACACTTATTTAACTAATATTCATCAATACTAGTTAAAGCCTAAAGGCTTATACAATGAAATAAATAATTTACAAACATGTGCTATAGTCACAATTTTTGATGTTGGAATCAATAAAATAATTTAATAATATAATTAAACTTTTAAAAAAATTCGACTAGTGTTAATACAATAAAACAAATATGTTACAAAGATGTGGTATAGTACCCAACTTGCAGTATACATATTCGTTAGGAATTGATGAGTCCAACCAAACTTGTTCTAGTACTATCGAGAAGAAACATGACAAAATGTTTTAAAAAATGAAACATTAAATTAATCTAATAGTTTGTAAAATTTAAACTTATTTTAATATCTAGTACAATAAAAACTTTTTTGTCTCTTAAATATAAAACTATTTCAATGCTTTAACATAGCAACATAGGATAATTTGTTCATTGAAAAAGGAATAGATATCAAGCATTCAATGCTCAAAAATCAAAGTCTGTGAAACTTGTGATGTTGAGGTTTGAATCAGTTACAGCAACTTTAACGCATAGTTGTTAAATCAAAATTTTGTATAACTTACATTATTAATAAAAAATTTGCATTATAGTAGAACTGACATAACATATGAAATGCTCTAAAACTAGTTTACGTGCTCTACACAAGCAACGTATTTTAACTCATTATTTAACATAAATAATAGATTTTTATTAATTATTTAACATAAATAATATATTTTTATTAATCATTTAATACCAAGTTTGAATTCATTATAAACAATTATTATCGAAGTAAAAACTTCTTAATTCAATTTTGGATTGCTTAAATCATTCATGTCAATTTGGACCCACATAAAATAATTTAGTTCATTTAATTTAGTTGCTCCCATTAAAGATGCTTTTACGAAGAAGAAGCTTAAAATCCGTGGTGTTGCTTGCATATAAGTAGTGGTTGGCTTTGACAAATTGCAAACAAAATAGTTGATATTTCGTCGGGAATATGTTGAGTATAATAGGTTAACTATGAGACTTGTTAAGAGTAATCAAATTTAGATTGGTGAATATTTAATTCCAGAAAAGTAGTTCTTAATTTTTTATTTCATTATTGGCTAACTTTTTTTAGGCCATAGATTGACTTGTTAAGCATGCATACATGTTTTTTATTAGGAACATACAACATTTCATATCAATTTTCCTCATTATGCAAAAAGGCAGTGTTAATATCTCATTGAACAAGTTATAAATTTTTGGCCATCACCATGCTAAAAGGCAGTGTTATAAATTTTTAGATGCGGTCGTGTATAAAAGTTGTTTCATAGTTGTCATTTAAATGATTATGCTGAAGATTAATTTTGTGAGTGGATAAAATAAAAGGACAAAAATAATAATTAAACTTAAAATATTATGAATAAAAACCACTTTAAGAAAATAAATAATGGGAAGAGGGCGAGGGCGGTCGCCGAAGAACACGGTGCCTCTGCCAACAACATTCCCACTGAGGTCACCTCCAAAACAACAATCAGAACTGAGAAGCCATCAAGTAAGCAGTAGTAGAATAACTGAAGAAGAGATTCTGGAAATTGAAACCCTGGATGAACGTCCTGGTAAACCTAATCAAGAAGAAATAGAAACCGCCACTCAATCGAATGATGCCTTACTAGATGCGGGGCCTAAGAAACCTGAGACTGGAAAACCTATGCATGAAGGAGCCTCTGAGGAAGGTCGCAAACTATGGGTAGATGTGCTAAAGGATAATAGAAATCCGACGAAGGGCAGAGCGATGAAATTCATCGCACCCCAAGTCGTGAATGGGAAACTTGAAGTTGTAATCGAAGAAGATGATATTATCTCTGAAGTCAAATTTTGGGAATCCTCTTTGATTCTGTATGCAATGGGAGTTGACCTAAGCATGAATGCGGTTAAGAATTTCATGACCAAGAATTGGAACTTTGTTCAATTGCCGGATATGTATTACAATGATGAAGGTTATTTTATCCTTCGATTTAAGTCATTCAAGGACCGAGATGAAGTTTTGCTGAGAGGACCATACATGATAAGAAACATCCCTCTGCTGATTCGTGAATGGAGGCCAGGTTTCAAGGTCAAAGATGAACTCCTGCGAACTCTACCTATTTGGGTGAAACTGCCTCAACTACCCATCATTCTGTGGGGTGATACAAGTTTAAACAAGATAGGAAGTGCTCTTGGAAACTCCATCATGACAGATGAATGTACGACAAACAGACTCTGAGTATCCTATGCGCGAATACTTGTGGAAATGGACATTACAAAAGAACTTCCACAAACAATTACCATTGGTGATAATGAAGGAGAAAAGATCCAACAAGCTATTGAGTATGAATGGAGACCCCTGTTCTGTAGTAAATGTCAAAAGGTTGGCCATAGTTGTGACAAACCTAAAGTGACACAACAATGGAAACCTAAACCTGCACCACAACATACAGGTAATGTGAAAACTGTGATGGACAACACTGTTGAAAGGATTCCTAGGACTGTAGGAAACAACAATACTGCAGGTAATAAGGTTATTATTGCTAGTTCCCCTGCTGTGATTAACACTGTTAAGGGTAATACCTTAGCAGAGATTTCCACTGATATGGTTAGTAAGGCTGTTGAACCACCTCCAGAAAATGAAGTTAACCTAATTGAGTAGGTGGAGGCAGTTATGGAAAAATGGATAGAAGTTATAAGAAGTGGCGAGGATAGAGGTAAACAAATAGTTAACCCCAACAGTGTAAACAAGATTGTTTGTGATAATGGATTTGAGACTCTTGAGATTTCGAAGGATCTAATAAAGTCTCAAAATACTGGCCAATGATTACATCTTGGAACGTGAGGGGGCTGAATAAAATGGGGAAGTTAAAGGAGATTAGATCCCGTCTCTTTAACCTTCACCCTAAGATTGCAATCTTACTAGAGACAAGAGTTAAGCATGACAAGGCGAGAAAAATCAGAGATCAGCTTAACCTTAAAGGACAATATCTTGACAATTACAAAGAACATTACAATGGCAGAATTTGGATCTACTGGGATGAGAGACAATATGATGTCAGAGTGATAAAATGCACATCACAGATGATACACTGTGGTATCCATGATGTAAATGGAGTATTCCAAACCTAGATGACATCTATCTATGCGTCGAACCAACTTAAGCAAAGAAGGAAATTATGGGAAGACTTGAAACAAATTCATGACAGCCAACAGGGCCCTTGGTTCCTTATGGGAGATTTCAACAATGTAACTAAATCTATGGACAGAATAGGTGGGAACCTGGTGACTGAAAGAGAGTTTGAAGATCTCAGAAGCTTGATGGATTATGCTGGCTTGTTTGAGAAGGATAGCACAGGAGACTATTTTACATGGACAAATAAACACTCTATCGGTACCATTTATTCAAAAATTGACCATGTTCTTGGTAATATAGATTGGCTGCAGGAAAATATTGATTTGAAGTTGGAGATTCTCCCTCCTAGTATCTCTAATCACTGCCTTTTAGGATTGCATGATGTGAAGATTAACAGAGCAGTACACACAAAATTCAGATTTACAAATAGTGTGGTGAAGATATCAGATTATCATGACACTATCAAACAGAACTGGAACAAAGAGATTACTGGCAGACCCATGGCTAGACTATGGTATAAATTGATGAGATTGCAAGCTCCCCTAAGTAGACTGAGCAAACATTTTTCAAACCTCCAGCAGACCATTGTTCAAGCAAGGAATGATTTACTACAAACCCAAGAAAATCTCATAATGGACAGAATGAATACTGAGATCATTGAGAAAGTTAAAACTTGTACTAATGAATTGACCCATCTGCAAGAACTTCAGGACCAAATGCTGAGACAAAGGACAAAGATTAATTGGCTAAGAGAAGGCGATACGAATTCATCTTTCTTCTATGCTTACCTCAAATCCAGGACTACAACCACAAATATTAGCCAACTCTACAAAGATGATGGCACCTGCATTCACAACCAGGAAGACATAGAAAAAGAGGTGTGTGAGTTTTATGGAAAATTGATGGGTACAAGGGAACCTAGAATGAATATGATTGATATTGATGTCATGAGGGAGGGGCCTCAACTGTCCATGGAACAAAGAGCTAATCTAATTTCACCAGTGTCTGTTACCGAAATCACTAATGCCTTAAAAGGGATAGGTGACCTTAAGAGCCCAGGTATCGATGGGTACGGAGGAAAAAATTTCAAAGCCAGCTGGGACATTGTTGATAAAGATGTTATTGAAGCTGTTACAGAATTCTTTGAGCAGAATGTGATTTATAAAGCTTTCAATGAAACAATTGTTACTCTTATTCCTAAACAGGCGGATGCCAAAACCTTGAAAGATTACAGGTCAATTGTTGGATGCTCAACAATCTATAAAATCATATCCAAGATACTCACAACCAGACTTGGGAAGGTGTTGGGAACCATCATCAGTAAAGCGCAAGCAGCTTTTGTTCCAGGTCAGAAAATCCATTCTCACATCTTACTAGCTATGGAACTTTTGAAAGGTTATAATAGGAATACTGGTACTCCTAGATGCATGGTACAATTAGATCTCCAAAAAGCGTATGACATGGTTGATTGGGGTGCTCTTGAAAATATTCTTAGTGAAGTAGGAATACCTAAGAAATTTATTGATTGGATTATGACCACTGTGACTACAGTTTCTTATAGATTTAATATCAATGGCAAGTATACTGATAAGGTCAATGCAAGAAGAGGTATTAGGCAAGGGGACCCCTTATCCCCTCTCCTGTTTGTAATAATTATGGAATATCTCAGCAGATTACTTTTCAGAATGCAAAAGAATCCTGACTTCAACCACCATGTTAAATGTGAAAGGCTGCAAATCACCCACTTAACCTTTGCTGATGACCTCTTGCTGTTCTCTAGAGGCGATCATGTGTCCATGGATATTCTACAATTAACTTTGAACAAGTTTCTGGATTCTACATGTTTGAAAATAAACCCTTCTAAGAGTAGGGTGTATTTTGGTAATGTTTCCGAAAATGTCAAATGTGCCATCCTCCAGCTAACCTCATACAAAGAAGGGTCTCTCCCCTTTAGATACCTTGGTATTCAGGTGACTAGTAAGTGTCTTGCTGTTATCCATTACATGCCTTTATTGGACAGGTTATTAAGTAGAATAACTCACTGGAGTTCTAGATTGCTGAGTTATGCAGGTAGGCTGCAACTCATCAAGAGTGTGCTCTATGCCATCACAACCTATTGGATGCAGTGTATTTGGTTCCCAAAAATTGTGATCAACAAGATCAACGCAATCTGTAGATCTTTTCTCTGGACAGATGGTAATATTATCAGTAGGAAAAGTCCAGTAGCGTGGGATAATGTTTGTAAACCACATGTGAAAGGCGGACTAAATGTGATGAATTTGGAAACTTGGAATAGTATGTTTATGATAAAACTTCTCTGGAATATCTATGCAAAATTTGATGATTTATGGGTTCGCTGGATACATGCTTATTACTTGAGACATGAAGGTATTTTGACTAGAATTGTTAAGGGATCGGACTCTGGAATTTTCAAAGCAATTCTAATACAAAGGGACAATCTAGTGACTATACAAAGTACATGGAATGATATGCTGCAGACAGGTAAATTCCATGGGAGAAAAGTGTATCAAAGCCTTCTACCTATTACTCCTAATGTTGCATGGGCCAAATTAATTCTTCACAATAGAGATAGACCCCGTGTAGTTATTACTCTTTGGATGATCTGCCATGATAAGTTAGCTACCAAGTCCAGACTTTTCAGATTTGGAATGCTCAATAATAACAAGTGTGTTTTTTGCAATGAAGAGGAAATCATTGATCACTTATTTTTTTGTTGTCTGGAATTGAAGCAAATCTGGATTGGTATTCTTCAGTGGATGGGTATTCAACACAGTCCAAAAAAATGGAAAGAGGAAATGCAATGGGTTCTAAGAAATTATGGTGGGAAAGGTTGGAAATCTGAACTGTTTTAGGCTTGCCCTTACAGAAACGCTTCATGAGATCTGGCTTTTTAGAAATGAATCCTGTTTTAATCAAAGAACTGATAACAGGAAGTGTCTAGATAGAATTATAAACAACATAATATATAGAGGGTGAACTAGTCCTAAGCTTAGACCACATATAGCTAGGTTGATTTTACCTTAAAGTAGGTTTATTTGTTTTGTTGGCTGGATCCTTTGATCGCCTTGTTATGTAATGATTTTTTTGAGTTAATGCCAAATTTTTTGATTCAAAAAAAATAAATAATAATAATAATAATAATGAATGAATAAAGTGATAATAGAATTTTGACTCAAGAGAGAAAGTTAAATAGTGAAATAATACTATAAACATGTAAAATAAAAAACATTATTATTACTGTATTATATTGAGCTTTTTTTTTTTATTAATGAAATGTTATAAAATTTTCTTTTTTGAAAAAAATAAACTTCTAAAGTGGCTAGAAACCGGAAAAACAATTCATACTAAATGTAGTTTTATTGGGTGTATATATCAATAATTAGCTTAGAAACTGGAAAAACAACTCATACTAAATGTAGTTTTATATTTTCTATAATTAATATTTTCTTAGAATTTTTGTATTAAAATAAATTTTATATAAATATTTTCTAAGTCATACACTCCATCATCCATTTATAATAATAATAAATAAAATAATAATTAATAAAAACACTTAAATACAATTTTAAAAAAAGTTACAAAGTAGTACCCTAAAAGTGTAAAAATACTAAAAATTTTAAATTTATCATGCCATACAAATATTTTAAAATAAAAAATGTGATTTAATAAGTGACATGGTAATAAAAATTTACAATGTAATGGGATATCCTAAACCCTAAACCCTCCTAAACCCTAAATTACATAAGTTAGAGAAAAAAAAGCCGGTTAATCAACAAAAAAAGAGGATTTGAATAAAGAAAAAGACGAAAACAGCCCTGAAAAATTGCCCCTAACTTCTATAAAATAGGTTAGTTTCCCTAAGAGAAAAAAGTGTAAGAGTGATCGGAGAAACATGGGTATGAACTGCAACAGAGTAGAACACTTCAAAGAAACCACCATGAAAATCCAAACTGAAATTCCTATTCATCAAACAGAGTACAACACTTCAAAGAATCTACCATGAAAATCCAAACTGAAATTCCTATTCATCAAACAGAGTAGAACACTTCAAAGAATCCACCATGAAAATCCAAACTGAAATTCCTATTCATCAAGTTCGTTTACCGCCGCAACGAACTTCGCTCAAAAAACTCAAACAAAGACTCTCTGAAATCTTCTTCCCTGATGATCCCTTACACCGTTTCAAAAACCAACCGTCCTTCACCAAGTTTCTTCTTACTCTTCAATTCCTGTTCCCCATTTTTCAATGGGGCTCCCACTACAATCTCAAACTCCTCCGTTCCGATATCGTCTCCGGCCTCACCATTGCCAGTCTCTCCATTCCTCAGGTCACACAATAACCGTTGCATGTCTGAGTGTGTTGTATTACTCAATTATTTTAATTACTATTAGTATCGAGTCTGTTTGTCTGATTATTAATGTTATTAATTGCAGGGCATAAGTTACGCCAAACTAGCAAACTTGCCACCTATTATTGGTTTATGTAAGAATTTAATTTAATTTTAAATTTATAGTTTTATTTATTTAATTAATGAAATGACTATGATGGAAAAAATTGAATATGATTTTCAGATTCAAGTTTTGTGCCACCATTGATATATGCTCTGCTTGGAAGTTCAAGACATGCTGGTGTTGGACCAGTTTCAATTGCATCATTAGTTATGGGATCAATGTTGAGTGAAAGTGTTTCTTTCACTAAAGATCCTACTCTTTATCTTCAATTGGCTTTCACTGCAACTTTTGTGGCTGGTTTATTCCAATCTTCCCTGGGCATATTAAGGTAGTGTTCTTAATTATTTTGGTCAATTTGAGAATATTTTTTATAGTAACTTTAACAATATTTTATTGGTTTTTCTTCTTCCCTAAAATTTTCAGGTTAGGTTTTGTAATTGATTTTCTATCAAAGGCAACATTGGTTGGTTTCATGGCTGGTGCTGCTATCATTGTTTCATTACAGCAATTGAAAGGGTTACTTGGAATTGTGCATTTTACTAACAAGATGCAAATTATTCCTGTATTGCACTCTGTTTACCATCAAATGAATGAGGTACATATTAACTCTAATATTAAGTCTAATATTAAGTCTAAGAGGTTATAGTAATTAGGGTTCCGGTCTTAGAGGATATAAGTCTGCGCAAAAATTGTTCCTTAGTATATTTTATAGAGATTATAAGCAAAAAAAATTAATTTATTTAATAATTAATGTATTTTATTTATATCTAGACTAGATACATAAATTTTTTAATAAATATGAAAATATAGTATATATGTTTAGTTTTCATGAAAATAGTATACTTTTTTAAAGTAAATAAAAAATAATTAATATTTTTATTCAATTTTATCATTATTTTTATAGAAATAAAAGTCCTCTATTTTAAGAAATGTAGAGATTAAAAATGTACAAACATTTTATAAAGTAATTTTGCTTTTACTAAACTAAATGATTTATATATTATCATTATCCTTGCATGGTTTGTAAGCAATGGATGGCTATTTTATTTTCATATATGCTTTCTTGTGGTATTAATTAGTAATTGCAATTATAATAAAGAATCATATTCCAACTTTTTAATTTTATCTTTAAAGATTCTTTTTTGCTACTTGCTAATGAGAGTTTAATATAAAAAAATTATAACAAAAGAATGAGGGTATAATGGGTAATTTTCAAATATTGTTATGGTAGTGTAAATTGACTAAAGTATCTTATTTTTTGCAGTGGTCATGGCAAACTATTGTTATGGGATTTGGTTTCTTAGCATTCCTTCTCATATCAAGACACATTGTAAATTTCTCTATCTTGCATTAAATCATATACCGATACCGACACGAACACAGATACGTAGATACGTATTTTTTCTGGTACATAGATATCATCTAACAAGTCTTTATGAAAATTTTGCAACAGAGTTTGAGGAAACCAAAACTCTTCTGGGCTTCAGCAGCTGCTCCTTTAACATCAGTCATTCTGTCAACAATTTTAGTCTTTCTTCTCAGAAATAAAACTCATCAAATTTCAGTGGTAAGAAAATTTTACTCGCTTCATCGTAACTGTTTGATTGAAATATCGGTCGATTTTCAATAACCGGTTAACTGTGTATTTTTCGGCAGATTGGATACTTATCAAAGGGTGTTAATCCACCATCAGTAAACCTGTTATACTTCAATGGTCCTTACTTGGCTCTTGCTATCAAAACAGGCATTGTCACTGGGATTCTATCTCTCACAGTAAGTACTGCATCTAGATTTTCCTACTTCGATATATTACATGATGTTAACTGTGATTTTCTACTTAACTGTGTGATTTACTCGTATTCGACCAAATTTTCGTATGTTTTAGGAAGGAATTGCGGTAGGTAGAACATTTGCAGCCCTTAAGAATTACCAGGTGGATGGAAACAAAGAGATGATGGCTATTGGTATTATGAACATAGCTGGTTCTTGTACTTCATGCTATGTCACGACAGGATCCTTTTCTCGAACGGCTGTTAACTACAATGCTGGAGCACAGACTGCAGTTTCTAATATAATCATGGCTTCAGCTGTTCTAGTGACCCTTTTGTTTCTCATGCCACTATTTTACTATACGCCAAACGTTGTCTTAGCGGCCATCATCATCGCTGCTGTGATTGGACTGATAGATTATCAAGCTGCACATAAACTGTGGAAGGTTGACAAACTTGATTTCTTGGCCTGCATGTGCTCATTTTTCGGCGTTCTCTTCCTTTCTGTACCGTTAGGCCTCGGTATAGCGGTAAGCTGATCTAAATATACGAGCTGAAATACCGTCGCGTTGACAATGTAAAACTTTGTATGCAATCATTCAATCAGATTGGCATTACGACAAAACCTGATTGGATGGCTATATAAAAATGTTTTACACTGTCGGTGTGTATGCGTTATTAATAACAATTTTATCGTCGAAAATCTTCAGGTTGCGATATCGGTTTTCAAGATCCTACTTAATGTCTCGAGACCAAACACTTTAGTTTTGGGGAACATACCAGGAACACAGATATTCCATAACATAAACCAATACAAAGAAGCTTTAAGAGTTCCTTCGTATCTCATTTTGGCCGTTGAATCTCCAATCTATTTCGCGAATTCAACTTACCTTCGAGAGAGGTTCGATAAGAACATTTCTGAAATTTTAATCTGTTAAGTTCAGGATATATTTCTTTGAATGAATGCATGATTCATATTAAGAGCTTCTCCTACCACAGGATACTGAGATGCGTTCGAGAAGAGGAAGAACGCGTAAAAGAAAATAACGGAAATGCGTTGAAGTGCATAATTTTAGACATGACAGGTAATGATTTCACTGCTCTAACATCAAACAATCGTGCAGTATCGGCTTTGAATATATTCACTAAACAATATTTTGTATTTTCAGCTGTCACGGCAATAGACACAAGGCTTTGAATATATTCACTAAACAATATTTTGTATTTTCAGCTGTCACGGCAATAGACACAAGTGGACTCGAAACTTTAGATGAACTTCGAAAGATGCTGGAAACGAGATCACTTCAGGTATAGTAACTAATGACATTGATTTCAGAAGGTTAAAGAAAACTACGATTTTTCGCTTTCTAACATCTTATAATTTGCTACTGCAGTTTGTGCTGGTGAATCCGGTTGGAAATGTGATGGAAAAGTTACATTTGTCGAAGATTTTGGATACCTTTGGATTTAAAGGAGTATATCTCACAGTAGGAGAAGCTTTGGCTGATATTTCGACATCAGAGAAAGCTGAACCTTGATTTTCAACTAATGGTTTTCTAGGATATGGGAGAGATCGTAGAAGAACCGTCACTGTTTTTTTGTTTTTTTGCGAGAAATACTCGCTTAAGGGAAAAAAAATCTTATGTTTTATGCTAGTTAAGCAATTTTTGTACTATTTGATTAGAGGGAAAGTGTTCCTAATAGAGACATGTTTTGGCATCAGAAATGAAAGTATTATTGGTAATTTCGTATCAGTTTCTTGTTTGCAAATGGCATATATTAATAGCAACAAAGTTTAGATTTAAAAGCTTGAAATTGTATAGTTATTGAGTAATTTGATAGCTCTTCATAACAAAATTATCATTTCAAATTCAGGTTCTGACCAAACCAATAATCTTCAGACAATACAAACAACAACCAAACATCATGTGGAGTTGCCAACATGAATCAAACCACTAGACAGTTGTTCACAAACTAAAACTATTCATCACTGATTAGTTCTTTTCAATGCAGTTCGGTTTGATTTAAAGGCTCGATTCATTTTTTGGTTTCTTCCAACAGTCCATATATTCAGTTTGACTTTATGGTTTTCTTAACAGTGCTAATAGTAATACAAATTTGTCAAAGTTCAATTCACAGAGAATCGGTTCGGCTCAAAAAGGTAGAATTCAATTTTCGGTAAAGCTAGTTCAGAGACACAGAACTGATGCACGAACCTTTACACCAGATTGTTTTGGTTCAGAACAAACTATTAGCAGTTTGGTTTTAACAATTCAACTCGGCTCGATATTCCTACCTGGACCAAAACATGAAGCATCTTTGCAGACAAGACAAGATAATAACATTTTATCATATATATGTATATTATTAAACTCTTATCCAAACATTGACATATATTGGGTTTAGAGTAGCAAAAATGGAATATAAACAAAGGTAGAATCAAAAAACAATGATAGACGATAAAATACAGATGAGAGAGGGCCCAGTAGCCTCTTTCAGCTCATCTATCAAACATTACCATGCACATAGCTGTTCTGAGTTATCATAATCGAGAAAACTCTTTCTTTCCTATAGCTACAAAACCACGAAATTCGGTTCTTGACAACTAACACATAGAATACTTTTGCACAGCAATAACCAAAAGCCGAAAGCAAAAACAAATCCACATAGCCGATTGTCTACGTCTTTTACCTTCACAACAGTTTCGTAATAATGCAGGTTATTTGGAAACTTGCAGAGCCATGAGAAAGATGTCGTCATGGTAACTCGAGTTAGGAGAGTGCTCTTCTGAGTTAGTGCAAGTCTTGTCCGTTTCATCTTCTGCAAAAATCTCCTCCGATCGACACTTAAAACTGCAAAACGCTTTCTCTTCACTGCAAGATATATACAATAAATTAAACTAATGTTTATGACTTAACTGAAAAAAACTCGTGATAGAAAAGTGAGATGTTTAAGACAAACCTATATGCATAAGTGTCCTCCTCCTCGTCTAATTTCTTACTACACGAGTAACAAAAGCTCGTAACACTGTCAAAACGACGAGGCGCAGATTCTTGAGAAGATTTGAAAGCTGGTTCTTCTTTCTGGCTGAACTCAATAAAGTCATTGTTGTCGCATTCCAAAATGCAGTCACCGAATATATGCGTTCGCTTAGGATTTGGACCGTGAGAGATTATACAAGTATAATCCTCGGAAAGCTCTATCTCTTTTGCAGAGAGTGAACCTACATATATCGGAAGTGAACATGATTTGATTTTTAAAGAATCATCTACTAGTGAATTTCTGTTCATAACCGGGGCAAAACTTGACGTTGCAGAAGTAACTTCTACAAACAAATCATTGGTTCCCAAATTAGAGCTTTGAGTTGAGTTGATTACCGAAGAAGGTTTGGAGGAATCAGGCAAAGATTCCCGGTTGACACCATCATCAAATCTTTCAACTTCTGATAAGCGACTTTTGGTTTCAGAAGGAAGTGAAATTACATAGTTTTTTGGCAAGGAATTGGTTTTCAAACAAGATGCAAGAGATTCAAGATTTTTGTTTGAGAATTGACGTATGCCGTTCTTCACCTGTGATCCAAAAATTATATTTTTCCTCTGAAATTCACCAAGGATCTCGTTACTAGATTTGGTCTCGTTAACAAGAGAAGTTATGATCCCAAGGCCTACTTTACTTCCATCGAACGGCTTCTTATGCTCAGCTTTCTTAGAAGACTTAACACCGAAAACATTGCTAAGATTCGAGAAAAGTCTACAATCAAGAGGAGATGTAGGACTCCAAACGGATTCAAAATCTGATAAGTTTTTCACACCAACTCCGATCCTAGAACCAGAAGCATGAAAAATTGAGGAGCATATTTGTCTCGGGCTTATTGTTTCAGAAGGTAAAGAGAAATTGGAAGAAGAATCGGCCATGATATCAAAATACTTCCGAGGATGATCCTTAGTACCTCATTATTCCTCTTCACACGACGAAATCAGCACTTCCTTCCAGCATCATCACATTCTGAAAACTAATGTAAACACCATTACGCAACCGGTTATCATCACATTCTGAAAACTAATGAAAACACCATTACGCAACAGGTTATCTTCTTTCCATTTGACATGGATTAGCAGCAGAAACGTAAAAGCTTCTCTAGTCAAAATAATCGGCAAATCGACCAACAATATTTGCAACTCACAGTTAAATCTCCATTTAAGTAAATCTCATTAGAATCCGAGTAATTGATTAAACTAAAACATTTTCCATAAACATTCTCAACAACATAATGCTACAAAATCAACTTGGAAAATACAAACCTATGAACAAAGATCTATCAACTAGGAGACATAAAAAACAACAAAAATGAAATCAGACAAATCCTAAATTTTTCACCTGATCAAAATCCAAAAATTCAACTGCAAAAGATTTTTTTTTCTTAAACATAGTATTCATCAAAAACTCAAAAATCAACCATGACTTCAGACAAGTCAGAGTCTGATTATCATCAAAACAATCTATCAAAATCTACAAAAGGGTCTCTGATTATTACTCATAAGAAGAAAAAAAAAAATCTTAATTTCATGAAAAAGTAAAAAACCACAGCACATTCTACAAGATAAACTTCAAAATTCATAAGATTGATGTCAGAAATTAAGGAACAGAAAAAGAGAAAAAGAAGACATTTTTCAAGTAAATTAACCTACTTTTTTCAATCAGAGAGAAACCCAAATGCAGAATTGTTACAGAAAATAACACAAGTTCATATAACAAGTTTTTTACACATTTTTCTACCTTAGTTTGATAATCAGAAGAATTTTTGCATCATCATCCTGTTCCTCTTGCATGCATCGAAGTCAGAGAGACACAGTGAACGGCTTATTCTGAAAAGTACTGCTTCTCTCTCACTCTTTTTCTGTCTTTCTCATCTCTCTTTCATGATTGAGGCTCAAAATACGTATAGTACATGTATATACACCGTATTTGGCATAACATTCATAATTCTTTATTTACAATATTTTATTATTATTAAATAATAATGGTTTTTAAATCTCTTATTTTACTATTGGTAGCTATGCAGCAAAATTAAGAGAATCAACTTTGAATTTGTGACATTTTATTTATTTGTTTTTAAAAAATAAATTATATTTAATAGATTATTCGATCAAAACATATTTTTAATAGATTCATATTTTCATAATTATTCTTATTTAAAAATAAAATTATTTGTGATTTGTTTTGATTTTAGATGATTGATTTAAAATTTTGATTTTATTCTAATTTATTTAGTTTAATTTAAATCAGTTTTATAATATATTTAAATTACAAAATTTAATTTTCTTATTAATATTAATATTTAAAATATTATAAATAATATATTTGAAATAATATATATCATATAATTAATTAAATTTATAAAATAAAAATGATTAATTTGTTTGAAACAAATGAAAGTTAAAAAATATAAACAAAAATAATAAATTAATGCAGTATATCATATTAATATAAAATAATAAATATAAAAATATATGTATATTGTTCGGTTCAATTTAAATCGATTTTAAAATATCTGTCTAAAATTTTATCCGATATGAATGAATGTTCAAAATAAATTAAACACATCTAATAATATTATAAAAAAAATCGATTTTTAAACTTTTTTTAATCAATTTATAGTTTTTTTTTCTAGATCAATTTGTATTTCTTATTTGTATCCAAACATTTTTATTAGATAATATATAAATATTTTCTTAACTAAAATTTGAATTTTATATCACTATATGTAACTGTAAGAGGAAGAGTAGAACCTCTTTTATATGAAATTTATTAATAAATAAACTTGTTCTTTATACTGTATGAAAAATCTTATGAATAAAATATTATGGTTTTTAAAAAGTGTATGAAAGATCATAAGTGATTTAATTTTATAATGATCTGTAATAATGTTGGATAGAAAAGTTCAACCATAAGCAATAAATTATAGCCGAACAAATTGTTTAAAAGAAAAAGAATAAAGATGACATGTTGATTATTAAATAAAATGATTTTTTAACCTAAAATTTTATGGATTTTGGACTTGATTTGGATAGGTTTCTTCATTGTTGAGAATTTTATGGGAGAGTCAGAAAAAAAAAACAAAAAGGACAAAAGAAAAAGGTGAGTGTGACCAGGCACAGAAAAATAACTGACCATGTTCACAACTTCATAGTTTTGAGTGGGCCCAATCTAAGATGGGCCACAACTTCTTCACCTTTAACTTGTAAAAGAAATATTTTGTGTGATAGAAAATAAAGAGAATTAAATGAAAATAGAGAGAATTAAATGTTTTGATATCAATTATTTTTAGTGTATTTTTTGAAATATATGTAAGTGAGAAGTTATGGAGTTTAATACATCAAAGTGTGAAATTGGTGGATAGAAGGGCTCAAGGAGTTTTGCAAAGATATGTGATTGATTTTGATGAGACATCTATAGTGGATATAAAAAAGAATTGATATTTAATTTGGCAGGAAGCACACAAATGGTATAAGTTGTATATGATTGATGTTGTAATAATTTATTTGTATGACTTAACTTATTTGTATAACTCCATAGACAATAATATTTACATGAAGGATTTAATTTATCTAAGCACCATAATTTTGGATTTCAAGAAGATTATTCTTTATATGGGCTAAATAATTTGAATACATGTGATATAATCGTCTCAATAAATATATGTTGAGGGAGATACACGGATGCTTCATTAATTTTTATGAAAAGATTTAAAAGATAATTTGTTACAATTGTTATTATTTTGATGACATAAATATTGTTGGGGCACTTGAATAGCTTACAAAAGCTATAAATTACTAAAAAATGTAGTTTAAGATTAACGACTTGAAAATGACAAAGTTCTGTTTAAGATTACAAATTGAGTATTTATACAATGGCATTTTAGTACATCAAGAAACTCAAAAAATGTGTGCAACCGCTTTTATATGGCCTAATTTCATTTTTTGTTTATGTTAGAGAAAAATATACGTTTAGAATTGTTTAGAAGATGGGTTGAATAGACTTTTCTTCTAAAATTATTTTTTAAAACATTTTCTTAAAAAATAAAAGTTTTACAAGCAAAAGTTGTGAAATATCTTGAAGCTAACTGATAACTTTCATTGAATTTTAAGAATAGAATAAATAACCACATGATAAACAAACACCCACAAACTTGGGCTGATTTTAACTGGCCACTAACCTGCTCATAAACGTGTTGCAAGCACAACCAAACAGACTTTGACTTATTCAAATTTAAAGGGAAATAATAGACTCTAATGACTAATTAATAAACTAATGCATAATAACTTACAACAAGAAATATTTTAACATCCTCCCCTGAACTGAAGATTCTTCATCCAAGATCTCCAATTCACTTCCTCTGATTGAATTCTGCTAAGTCACACATGCCAAGTTTTCCCCTAAACCTCTGAAAAGTATCCAACTTGATTACCTTAGTCATCACATCAGTAACTTGTTCATGTGTTCCACTTTACTCCAATTCTATTATGCCATCTCTAACTAAGTCGCATAGAAAGTCAAACCTTACATCAATATGCTTACTCCTTTCATGGAGAATTGAATTCTTAGAGAGCTTAATTGTGGATTTGTTGTCACACCAAATCTTTGTACCTTTCTTCACACTTGTATTCCATCCCATCACTTCAATAATTTTCTTCAACACAACATTGAACAACACATTGAAATGCTGCAACGAACTATGCCTCTATTGTGGAAAGAGTAACGATAGGTTGCTTCTTAGAAGCCCGTGAAATAGCTCCTTCTTCTAGAAATAACACATACCAACTTGTATTATTTCCTATCATTGGTATCACCTACATAGTCACTACCTGTGTAACCCAATATACATTCATTCCTTGCATTTTTCTTATACCATATGCCATAAGTGAGTGTCCCCTTCAGATACCTAAGAACTCTTTTGCTGCTAACATGTGTTGTTTTGTTAGAGCTTGAATATATCTGCTTAGAAAGCAAAGTGTATACATTATATCGGGCATTGTGGTTGTGATATACAACATACTTCCAAGAGATGCTTGTACTAAGTTGCATCAACAAAGATACCATCACCTTTTTATAGATAACTTAACACTAGGTACCATCGAACTATGAACAAAATTCAGTCCAACAACTGCAACCTTTCCAGAATCTCCCTTGCATACTTCCGCTGACTAATAAATATTCCCTCCTTACTTTGAAATATCTTCACACCAAGAAAATAATGCATTCTCCCTAATTCTGTCATTTCAAACTCAGCATTCATTGATGACTTAAAATCTTATAATAATGAAGTAGTATTATTGGTGTACATCACATCATTCACATATACATTTACCAGTAACACACGAGTTCCCTTCCTTTTGATAAATAGTGTGTGCTTGTATGTACACCTTTTGAAACCAGCCTTGAAAAAGTATTGCTCAATTCTACTATACCAAGCTCTTGGAGTTTGTTTTAACCAATAAAGTGCTTTCTTAAGCTTATAAACCTTTGATTCGTCCCCCAACAATCACAAGCCCTTGTGTTTGCTCCACATAAAAATCCTTAGTAAGCTCACCGTATAAGAAAGTACTCTTCTTGTCTAGCTGACAAACTGGATAACCATGGTATGCAGCAAGAGCTAGAAAGAATCTAATTGTGTCCCACCTAGCCACATGAGCAAAGACATCAGTGTAGTTTATACCTTCCTTCTAAGCATACCCTTTCACAACCAATATTGCTTTGTATTTATAAACACTCCCATTATCTTTCAACTTTGTTTTAAACACCCACTTTACCTCAATTTGCTTCACACCTGATGAAAGCTCAGTAAGACACTGTGTATTATTCTTCTCAATTGCTTGAATTTCTTGCTTCATAGTAACTCTCCATTTCTCCCTCT